TTTCAAACGGATGTCAACAATACATTCCTGCAGGGGGATCTTCATAAGGAAGTTTACATGAAAATCCCTCAAGGATTTGATCAGTTTGCAAGCACCAAAGTATGTAAACTAAACAAATCTTTATATGGCCTCAAGCAAGCATCCAGACAATGGAATGCAAAGCTTACTGAGGTTTTGATACAAGGGGGTTTTGACAAAGTAGATATGATTATTCACTCTTTGTCAAACAAAACAAACATGAGATTACTATAGTGTTGGCATATGTAGATGATCTTGTGGTTGCTGGAAATAGTATTGACAGGATTAATGACATTAAAAATCATTTACATCGAAAGTTTAGAATTAAAGACTTAAGAGAGCTTAAATACTTTTTGGGGTTAGAGTTGGCAAGGTCTAAGAAAGGCATCATTCTTAATCAGAGAAAATATGCTTTAGATCTCATTTCAGATGTAGGTTTAAGTGCAGCCAAGCCATTAAAAGTTCTTATGGAGAGAAGCATCAAATTGTCAGGTCTAGGAATTCAAATGAAGTCCAGTAAGGCAAACAGAAGAAAGTAAAAGGAACCAGCTGACCTAGATCCTCTTCTTCAAGAACCTTCGACATATCGACATCTAGTAAGTAGATTATCTTATCTCACTATGACTCGACCTGACATATGCTTTGTTATGTAGGCTCTCAGTCAGTTTATGAGTGCCCCACGGAAATCTCATATGGAGGCAGCAACACGAGTTGTGAGATACTTGAAGGATAACCCTAGATTGGGAATATTTCTTACTGCAACAAGTAGAACAGACTTGGAATGTTATGTAGGCTCTGATTGGGCGGCTCATCATGCTACAAGAAGATCAGTAACTGGCTTCATAATTAAATTTGGTAGATCTAAAATTTGCTGGAAATCCAAGAAGCAGCCAACAATGTCTAAATCCTCAGTTGAAGCAGAATATCGAGCTCTAGGATCAGCCGTTTCTAAAGTTACATGGCTGACATGTATGCTCAAGGATCTAGATGTTAGAGGAGTTGAGCCAGTGAAGGTTTACTTTGATAGTAAAGCTGCAATTCATATTGTAAGCAATCTCGTTTTTCATGAATGCACAAGCACATTGAAATAGATTCTCATCTTGTGCGTGAAAAACTACAACAAGGAGTCATTGATTTACAACATGTTAATTAGTAGTAAGAATCAATTAACAGATGTTTTGACAAAAACTCTAGGTAGTGAAGATCATGAGAGATTGATACGTAAGTTAGGTGTTGTTAGTTTGTTTAGCCCCCAACTTGAAGAGGGGTGTTGAGAGACTAGAGTCCAATGTATTGATGTATTGGGCCGTAAGCCCATTAAGAGTCCATGTTTGTAGTATAAGTATTGACAGATTACTCAATAATAATTTATTGGTATTTTTCCACCAAGTCCAGTATCTTGTTATGCTCTGTTTCATAGGGACAAGATAGAATCAGAAAATGGAGGAGATAGCAAAGGGAAAAGAGACGTTGAAATGCGTTCTTTGAATTCAAAGTAGTCCTCTTTATTTTATTATCCCTATCGCATGGACTCAAGTGCCGATCAATCAAGAGCTAAAATTTTAATATTTAAAAATAACGAGTAGGCCAGATCACAATAGTATGTATGTGATATGCAAAATTCGAATGTGAAAGCTCATCTCCTTATAAACTAAGTGCTTAACAAATTTAAAAAAAAAACTAAAAACTTATCAATAAGAGTCGATTTGAAATGACACTACACAAAATGATATCGTCTTCGTTAAAATTTGATTTGAAATTACTGATATTGCATAGAATACCATGCAATAATTTTTTTAATAATAATTGCAAATGGAGTTGATTAATTGATATAAACCAAGTTTAGATTCCAATTTTTTCATTAATAAATCATCTCATTCTTGATATGCATTCTCCAACTATCAACGTGCATGGAGATGGCAAGAGCTTTAATTTATGGTTGATTCATCAGTTAATCATAAGCTCTAAGGGAATCTCTCACTAATTTCAACTTAGGCAACCTTAAGTTTCTCAATGGGCACATTTTGACATCTCGTTTTCCCAGATGTGCTCCATTAAAGCAAAGCTACAGTGAATGGAAAAACCTATGTGTTTTCTCATCCCAAAATAAAGAATATATTACTACGTACCTTCAATACTAAAAATAAGACTAAGAAAGCTACTTTTATTGAAGATTTTGCAATAATCTTCTTTCTGAATTTCTTTTCAATCCCCCTCCTTTTCACATTATCTGTACTTGAACAATATTTTCTTGCCTTTTTTTTTTTTATCAAATTAAGAAATGAACTTCCACAGAGATAATATTTTTCCCTACTCTTGACAAATTATGAAGAACGAATACGCTAAGAGACAGTCAAGTGAGGATATATATAAATGAGTATATTCAGCCACTTGTACTATATAGTGATTTCATATGATACTAGTTAAGCAAATAATAATACGGAGGCTAAATTGGATAATTTTCAAGTCGAACAGAAATAATTTCTTAACCTTTGAATTTTGGGAAAGGGCGGCGCGTTTTGTGGCTCTGCTGTCACTCCCAATTTCCAAGTTCCAATTAGTTGACCACTCAATTTCTCTCCAGATCTGGTCATCGCAGTGCCATTCTGATCTTCTCACTCTTGAAAATCTGCAAGCCAGGACTGAAAGTTCAAATTCATCACAGGTATGAAGCAATATCCTCCTCCTGATTCAGAGTCTCATTTTTTCCAACTTTAATCTTCTGGATTTTTCTATATCTGTTTTGTTTTACCATTGTTCTATTTGCTTTTCCACACATAAGCATCTATCTGTGATCTCTCCCAATTCTCAAAGTATAAATAACTTCTTAGTTAGTAATAATTACTGCTGCCATTTTCAGACTACTTTTTTCCCCCCTTCTCTTTCACTCTTGCAGCGTTCTGCTAGAAAAAAACAAATCGTAGAACAATAAATTTTGTTGCTCTAATATCTGAACATAGCCGGGGCCAAAAAAAAAAAAACTGTCATCAGAGGTAGAAAGCTGAACCAAAAAAATTATCTTTCTTAATTTACTCTGGATGGGTAAAAAAGTTATTCTTTTCATCTTGATGATATCTTCGTGAAAGACTAAGTACGCAAGATGCTTTAAAAAATTCTTCAAAACAAAATTTTGAGCTAATAATTTAATGATGATGACGATTGGCTCTCCTTTCAGCCTGCTATTAATATTAAATGGCAGAGGTGGGAGTGTCAGTAGCTGCAAAACTTGCTGAATATTTGGCGGATCCAACCCTACAGCAGCCAAAATGTTTGTTCTGTGTCAGCAAAATTAGTAGAAATGTTGAGATCAGAAAGGAGGAGCTGATATTATAGCAAGGGAGGGTGTAGAAACATGTTCAAGAGGCCATCAACAGGACTGAAAGTATTGATGATGAGGTTAACAAGTGGAAGAATGACGTGAAGACCCTCAGAGCAGAGGTGGATAAATTGGACGAAGGACTAAGGGCCAACCATGGCTGCCTTCGAGGGTGGTGTCCCACTTGGAGGGGATATTGTCTCTGTAAAAATTTGGCTGAGATAGCCCAGAGGATGACTGATCTAAATGCAAAGGGTGATCACTTCAATCCATTTTCCCATCCCATTATTTTTCCAGATATAGAGTATTACTCTTCTCAAAACTTTAAGCTCTTCAACTCTACGAAAATGGCTTTTGATCAGTTGTTTCAGGCATTACAATATGATGGTGGCTCCATGATTGGGCTATGGGGCATGGGAGGTTAGGGAAAACCATCATGGTGAGAGAAGTGGGAAAGAAAGCTAAAGAAAGCTAAAGAGTCAAAGCTTTTTGATCGAGTTGTGTTCACTACAATTTCTCAAAGCCCATACACAAGAAAAATTCAAGACGAAATTGCTGACATGTTGGGGCTTAAATTGGAGGAAGAATCTGAAACGGGGAGGGCAAAAAGAAAAGCACTACAGTTACAAAGTGGTGAACGAATTTTGATAATACTAGATGATGTTTGGGGTATGCTGAATCTTGAGGACATTGGTATTCCCTTTGAGGGAAATCATCAAAGAAGTTGCAAAGTTGTTATGACCACGTGCTGTCTTGATGTATGCACCTTGTTGGGATGCCAGAAGATAATTCAACTTGATTTGTTAGAAGATGAAGCTTGGACTTTGTTTCAAACTCATGCTAACATTGATGATGCTGTTAAAGAAGCTGTGGTTTGAAGATAACTGCTCTTAATTTGTCGTTTTGGGATTTTTCCAAAAATTAACCGAATTAATGCAATATAGTGCACAATCTGGGTCGTATTCACTTTGAGGAGCCGAAAATGAAATTAAATCCTAGTAAATAAATGCAAGTAACCTAAACTATAAAAAAAGATTTTTGATTTGATAATTGCTAAGTAAACACCTTAAATTAAATTGAAATTAAAATACTTTTTTTTGTTTTTATATAACAATTATTAAAATGAATGAAGACTGAAGAAATGAAAATGAAACACACAAATAACAATGATAATAATCAATCTTCCAATTCAACAACGCAAGTAATCCTCGCTCCAAAAGATACGGGAGTTAAAACAATGAATTTAGAATTATAATTAAGCTTTTAATCTAACAACTAAGCCACCTCGAATTGCCACAAAATATTTTCCTAAAATCCCAATTTACTAACTGCAACCAGAATAGTAAAATGAGATTAAGGATGCTAAAAACCAATGCTTAATTAGAACTCTTAAATCCAAAACAACAGAATTAAAGCCAGCAATAGACAATATGATCTAAGATTTCAAGCCACCTCAGAAAATCACAATATATTAAATCCAAAATCAATACAAATGTCATAACCACAACATTATAATTGAAATTAAAGCTATAAACAGTCTAATATCAAATGCTAAACAATAATCCAGTCCCAATAATCTCCAAATATAATTAGATTAAATAATAAAAGATTTTCTAATAATCAAAATAACTATCCTAAGACCTAGAAATTGTTAAATAATTATTAGACAAGAAATTAAAACAACTAAAACTGATTATTAAGCTCTAGCCACGGTTTGCCATAAAAAATGCCACAAATCAATACTCTATTGCAAGCTTCCATGGAGGAGACGTGACAGAACAGTGCAAGAGTTGATGAAGGATGACGCCGTCGCTCCCCTGTTGCTCCCTCTCGCTGTCGCTAATCTGTCTGCCACCAGGAGATTCAGCGAAGAAGAAGACTGGCAGAGAATGGAGAGAATATTGGATTGTCATTGCGCCGTCAGCTCCCCTGGTCTGCGTATCTGCTCTCGCCGTTTAGATGAAGAAGATTATTATTCGAATACTGCCTGTCGCCCCTGTTCTTCTCGCGTCTCCTCTGCTCGCCTCTGTTTCGTAGCCTGGCGCTGATGATGGGAGTAATTGAGGAGGATGGTGGCGATGGTGTGGAATTGGATTGATGGAAGATGGTGGAATTGGCCGAAACCCAAGAACACGGAGAGTGAAGAATGATTCCAATTCCCCGCGTGCACACAGTGGACCTCCTCTCACTCAACACCCACACTCCTCACTTGTTTCACGCCGCCCGCTCCCTCGCGCCGTCCGTGCTCTTCGTCTCCTCTACGAAGATGATGATGATTAGTTGGGTATTAGCTTGGGGTGAGCAAAACGCAACGTTTTGCTCCCCCTTTTATTATTATATTTTTTTTAATCTTTTTTTTTTCATTTTTATTTTTAAATTTTTCAAAAACCTGCAAACAAAATTCAAGGATAAAATAGCATTAATTGTCCTAAAAAATCAATTAGTTACAATTAAACCAAAATATGACAATTTTGCCCCTATAAAATAATAATTCAAAATAAAACATATTAAATTAATTAATAATCAATTAAGGCCAAAAGGACTAATTAAGTTGACAAAACCCATATAAAAGATATCAAAATATATAAAAATAATTAAGTTTGTCATGGTTCGAGCAATTGCTATGTAATGTAGCATTAATTGTCCTCAACCTGCAAACAAAATTCAAGGATAAAGTAGCATTAATTGTCCTCAAAAATCAATTAGTTACAATTAAACCAAAATATGACAATTTTGCCCCTATAAAATAATAATTCAAAATAAAACATATTAAATTAATTAATAATCAATTAAGGCCAAAAGGACTAATTAAGTTGACAAAACCCATATAAAAGATATCAAAATATATAAAAATAATTAAGTTTGTCATGGTTCGAGCAATTGCTATGTAATGCAAGGGCCCTCCCATTGCAATTGTAGCTATGGGAACATGCTTGAAAGGAAAAGGAGTTGATAAAATGAATGTACTGTTGTATAGGTTGAGGAATGCAAAGCCGAATAATGTGGATAAAGGTGTCAGGGATGCTTTTGCTTGTCTTTAATTAAGCTATGATTATTTGTAAACCCCAAAATCAAAGCTATTATTGTTAATGTGTGCTATGTTTCCTGAAGATCACAACATTGTTGAAGATCTTTTTTCGAATATAGAGTGGGGTTAGGCCTATGCAGAGATGTCGACTCATTTGAAATAGCAAGGAGCCAAGTTAGAGAACGTATAAATTATCTTATTGATTCCTCATTACTGATGCATTATTCTCTGAAGTTCAGCATGCATGCAGAAGAATATGTGAAACTGCATGACATGGTTCATGATGTTGTTTTGTGGATAGCATCAAAAGAAGATCATACCATTATATTAAACTGTACAAAAGAATTGAGCACTGATGAAGAGTTGAAAGATTGCTACGCTGTATCTTCATGGTATGACGTGAAAAAATACTTCAATTTCCTTTTCAGTTAGATGCTCCAAAGCTTGAATTTCTATTGTTACGTTCAAAAAAAAAACGCTGGATATGTTACTGCATCATTTCAAGGTATCAAAGGACTCAAAGCTTTGATCATTAGGTGCATATATGGGGCTAGGATTGAACTACAACCTCAATCAATTCAATGCTTATCTAATCTTTGAACTTTGTGGTTGCAATATTAGAATTTACATGATATCTCTTTTGTGGTAAGCTTTACAAGACTTGAAATTCTTGACTTATGAGTAGTAAATTTGAAAGAATGCCAAATGGAGTTGAAAAATTAAACAAGTTGAAATTGTTAGATTTGTCATATTATGCAATAGATGAGTGTTGTTATAAAGAAATAAGAACATGTTCACAGTTAGAAGAGTTGTATGTTTCCACAAATATTCCACACTTAAAAAATGTAAGTTGCTATGAATACCTTGTAGACACTACTACTTTGACGAAATTGAGAAGGTATAAATTGGAAATTGGCGAGCATGGATGCCGAGGATTGGTATTTCACAATGGAAGCACAAGATTTTATGCTCCAGTCGATTAAATATCTCTATCTTGTCCGCAATAATCAAGTATCTTGCACAGAGAGCAATTGTAATTGAATTTTATGAGCTCAAAGGAGGCAGCAAAAGTTTCATGCCTAACATTGTCCAAGCTGTAGGAGGGATGAATGAGTTAACTAAACTCTATCTTGAAAGGTTTTCACAGATAGAATGCATTATTGATGAAACCGCTCGTCATCAAGATGCAGTTGTCCCCACCAGATTGGATGCGTTAGTGCTAAGAGATATGGATAATCTAAAACAACTACATCATGGTCCTTCTCCTTTTAGCTTGTTCCAAAAGTTAGAAAGACTTAGGATATTCAATTGCCCTCAATTGCTCCACATATTCACTGTTGATTGTAACTTAGGCAATCTTAAGTTTCTCCATATTTCTACTTGTCTGATGCTGACATCTCTCTTCCCTGTCTGTGTTGCTTGCACTATGTTATCCTTAGAGAAGCTCCAAATAGAAGGTTGCAATAAATTGAAGCATTTTTTTGAAGGAGAGGGTGGTAGTGATGCATGGAAGAATTCGACATTCTTACAATTGAAATTTTTGTCTGTTTATAATTGCTGCAAATTAGAATGGGTATGCCCAGTCTATTTAGCTCAGAAGTTTGTAAAATTGCAGCATCTATCTATAAGAGATGCTCCTCAAATGAAATTTTTGTTTGGTGAAAACGCTGGTGAGGAACAATTGATACATAATCAAGATGAGACTCAAATAGTGCTTCCTCGTCTAGAATTTCTCAAGCTAGAAAAACTTCCAAATCTTGTCGGAATTGGCTTACGATATCATCCAAGGTGGCCATCTATAAAGTCAATAAAATGGAGGAATTGTCCAAATATGGTACGCCTTTGCTCTCCCAGTATCTTTGTTGGCGTGATTAAAATTTTTTTAGCTAATAGTGTTCGTGTGATTAGAAGATCTAAATTAAGTTCACTGCTCTCCCAATGGCAATGAAGATCATACATTACAATTTTCATCAGTTCTTAAACTATCCACTTCTTTTTGCTTTTCTTTTTTAAAAGTAAACTAACAACGCTTGTATTTTAATTTTTGCAAATTACTATAACTGACAAATAAGAGTCAAGATTTATTGTGAAAAGGGATTAAAATTATAATTGAAATAAGCGACTAAATGTGAATCAATTGACTTAGCTTCTATACATTTAATAAAGAAAATTGCTAACATCTTTCTTTTTTGGGAAAAAAAAAGGAAAAAAAAGAAAGAAAGCACCTTAATAGAAGTTGGGCCTTACATTCTCTGCACTCATTTTTTATGCCACAATTCGTCATAGTACTTCACCGTTATCAATATTGCAAAATATTCCGATGCATGGATAATCCAGTAGATTCTGTATTGCATTTTGGTCATTCAATTTATTTATAATTTCTAAAGCCCGCAATACATATTGACTCTTGTGGGCCCCTCATCATATTTTTCCCTTGACTGCATTGGGAACTCCATTTTCTTCTATATGCATATGGCAAATCTTTATTTATTTAATTTGTCAAAAAAATTGATAGACTAAGTCTATGCAAGGATAATATATGTACATATAGAATTTTAATTGATCCTGATTTATCTTTTTTTTTTTAATGTTAATGGTTCTTGTTTTTTTTTCCCCTCCCGTTTCCTCTTTCACAAATCAGGAATTTCAGGAATGTAAGAGCCATCAACTGAGCCTGAGGAATGAAGAATACGAGCCATTGGCAGCTATAGAAAGGACTCAACTTGATAATTGTGTAGTAGAATTCATTTTCGGCTAGAATACTGGGGTTGAAGAACAACTTCCAACATTTCAATACCTTAACATATTGACTTTGAAAAAATGTGCAAGATTGAAATTTGTCACAATGATGCTAGCTGAATGTTTTATGTTTGTGTTTTATTTTGTCACAACGGCCATCCCAAGTGCTTCATTTTCCACAATGCAAACCTTGTTTGTGTTTTATTTTGAAATGTTAATTAAATTGATGCTAGCTGAATATTTTATGCTTCCTTTTTCACAGAAAAAGCTAACTTTGTCTGACAATCAATCATAGTTCAAACAACAGAAGTTAAAGAGCAAACGGGTTTCATCTAACATTATATATTTCCTAGTTAGTGAACTACATGTGTTAAATGAAAGATATCATTTCTTTAGTTTGATCGTTAGTAATCACTGTATGCAGTGAAACATGAAGAAGGATTTTATATAACAAAATAGGTGTTAAATGTATTACAATCTCCAATTGTATGGAAAGATTTTGGTTAATTTGGTCTCCCCTTTTCCATGATATGTCCAAAGAACTTTGTAATATTTTATCACCCCGTCTTTCACTTCTGTGTTATGTGCAAAGACTTGTAAAGGAGTATGTGTTGAAATACAGCCAATTAAATAATAGTCAGTCTCTCAATCCTCTGCTTTCTATTCTGCATCCTGGAGAGCTTCATATTCAAAGTCCTAGAGTTGAACACAAGTGGCGAATCATTAGTGATGATGAGCAAGGAGAGACCAACGGCTCAGGTCTTGTTCCCACTTGAGTTTTGAGCTTCCAGTATGTAACACCCCGAATTTTATGATTTAGGATGAGCAGAAAAGTAAAAATTCATTAGAATTATTTATTTGCCGAATAAATTGGGGAAAATTATGGAATATTTATTGATTTTTAGGGTTTAGAGACATTTTGGAAAAGGTATTTCCCCAA